CGCTTTGACCTTTGGAAGGTCTAAATCTGCTTCCAAAGGTCACTGCTTTGACCTTTGGAAGGTCTACTCTGCATCCACAAGTCATAATTGACTTAATTGGAAATCTGCTTCCAAAGGTCACCGCTTTGACCTTTGGAAGGTCTACTCTGCATCCACAAGTCATAATTGACTTAATAACATTGAACAACCTCTCTCTTCCTTGCTCTCTTGGTTCCAGCTATCAGAAAGTAATCTTGGGGCTGCATTTCATCCTTTGAACTCTTAAATATTTATGGTGACCAACCATTCCAATGTGCTCAGATTGAAAGGTTTTCTGGGACATTGGACTTTGCATGTTAAATCTGAGGCAGTCCTGGAAAATTGGGATGGGTTAGTAACCCTGTAATAGTACTGAAAACTGAATTTCTTTCTGTTCCTAAGGTAAATTTTCTTTAGGGTCTTTACCATGGCTCTTCCCTCTGGCTGGAATGTTCTCTTAGCTATCCACAAGTCTAACCAGCTCACTTCCTATAACTCTTACTCCAGCCTTGCCTTTTCAATGAAGACCATGCCATGTTATTTAACAGTGTTACAGTTCCACCTCTGGCACTCTGTGATGCCTATTTACCTTACTCTTATTTTCTGCCCCCTAACACTTAGTCGTGTGGCACTGTGGGTTAATGCGCTGGACTGCAAAGTTGGTTTGAACTGCAAAGGTCTGTGGTTCACTAATCTCTCCTAGGAAACCCTATACAGGGTAGCTATGGGTCGGAACCAACTCAACAGCACTTAACAGTAACACAACAACAACACTTAATCTTTCTAACACCTGCTACAACAGACCTGTTTATTATGCTTGGCTTTTGTCTGTCTCCCTCTGCTAGAATGCAGCATCCTGAGGACAGGAACTCTGGACATTTTTGACAAGTACCTAGAATAGTGCTACTGAAGTGTCATTTGTAGAGAGACTCTGATTATTGGGCTAGAACTCTAGTAAAGAAACTCAAGGTAAGTGTTTTGAAACTTTTCGATCAATTTGACACTGACACAACATCCAAGTGCATGTTTGCTCTTCTAGGAGTTTACTTTTATTGTATTTTTACAAAAGTATCCAACCTGCAAATTAGAAATTAAATAAATTGAAAACTAGTCCTACAAAATAGATTGTTTGAGAAGTACTGGCCCAGGGCAGTTCCAGCATTTGGTAGGTGACAGTCATTTTGTTGAATGAATGAATGGATGATTGCTTGAATGAATGAAAGAACAATGCTCAAAGAATAACTTATCTTGTAGTAAAATCACATCAGGTCTATACATAATCCTGCAATTAAATAATGTGACTGCTAGATCATTGGGCAAGATGCTTCATGTTATGGGTGTATGTGTGTTTTCCTCTGAGGTTTCACTGGCATGTGTGAGGAATGAGCCAACCTCACAAAGGCCAGTTAGCAGCATGTCTTAGAATCTCTAGCTAGGGGGCTGGAGACAGTCGTGGTTCAAGCCCCACATACACACACTTTTTGCATGCCTGCTCTAGCAGATTTATTTCCCTCTACATGTCACATCCCTGCAGACCCCTCAATCGATCAATGAAGTCAGCCCTCAATGAAAGTTAGAAGGCAAGTTTGTTCGATATTACAATAAAAAAAAAAAAACTAAAAACTAAAAAGGTCACAATATTCTCACTCATAGTGAGTGTAATTAATGTCACTGAATGGTACACTTAAAAATGGCTCAAACGACACTGTGCTATGTATATTTTGCCACAATAAAATTAAAAAAAATCTAATCGTAGTGGTTATGAGTTGGGCTGCTAACCTCAAGGTCAGCAGTTTGAAACCATCAGTGGTGCCACAGGAGAATGATGAGGCTTTCTGCTCCCGAAAAGATTTACAGCTTCAGAAACCTTCATAGGGTTGCTATGAGTTGGAACCAATTCCACGGCACATAACCACCATTATTCATAAAAATAACTATAATGCAAAGCAAGATATAATGGATTATAAGAAATGTTCTGAGTGCAGAGAAGGGCAGCACAATGGGCCTTGAAGAATGGGAAGGATTCTGATGAGTGAACAGGAAGGAAGGGCATTTGTGGCACAGAGAACACTCTGGACAAGGTCACAAAGGAGGGGAAGAGCCCACCAGCCAAGTCTATGTTGGGAAAACAGAGAATAGTGTGGGTATTCTTAAGCTCAGAATGTAGAAAAGAGATCAGTGATGTTAGAGTTAGAAATGTAGATTAGGACCAGGAGACAGAGAAACTTGAATTTCAAGAAGCTTAGTGTGGATGCTGGGGTGATGAGGTACCACTGTGGCACGTGGAGGAACAGAATGCCCTGACCAGGCCTGCCCTCTACAATAACTGTTCAGACAACTGTGTGTAAGAGAAGTTGAAGGAAGCAAAGGAGGAAGACCACTTACCTTGTTGCTTTTCAAGAGTGTCAGCAAAAGTAATGGTGATGGAAGCAGAAAATTGTTTAGACTGGAGACAAGGACAATTGTAAGAGAAAAGTGTAGTGAATAATGAACAGTAAATCGGTGTATAACTTATTAATACATTTGACTTTTGAGGATGTTTTCCTAAAGACCAGAAAAGATTATTGTAATCTAACAAATCTTTCTCTCTGTTGTTGTTAAGATCCCTCTAGTCAGTTTGGGGTTTCTGAGGAGTGGATAGTGGGTTTGAACTGCCAACTTTAAGGTTAGTGGTTCAGTGCTTATCCTACAGAGCTACGCCAGGACTCCTTTTCTAATAGTTAATAATTTAAAATGCAGCAAACAGTGAAACCTGGGAGAACTGAAATTTAGCAGTACTGCCTTGCTTTTCCCAGTTGTATAAGTTTTCTGCCTTTGACATGGTGCCATTTTAATACTTTTCTGTCTCCTCTTTAATTGAAAAATATTTGAATTTCTCTTCTCTGATGGGTTTCTGCTTTATACAGTTTTCAGATTTTAAAGGTTTTACTACATTTACTTCCTGTGAACTATGCCACCAAAATTTAATGACTTACAGTAAGACATTTATTTCTCCTTGTGTTTCATACTCATTTACTAGAATACATGAACTACTCTTTACAGAATATTAATCACAACAGACACAACAGCAGCAGCTAACCTTTAGTGAACCCTTACTATGAACAGAGGAGAGACTTGAGCTCAGGCAAATGTTACTCCAGAACCTATGCCTACAGCTACTCCAGCACATTATTTCACTTTCTTTTTAGTAATTTCATTATTTTAACGTAGAATACCAAAAGAGAACAAAGATCAGATAGAACGAATAGAAACAAATAGCAAGATGATAGATTTCAACCCAAACATAACAGTAATCACATTAAATGTAAATGGCTTAAACACCCCAATTAAAAGGCAGACATTGTCTCTGTGAATAAAGAATACCATCCAAAATCTTATATAATGGCTTCTGTAACATCACATTATCTTTCTTGTATATTCTACTCTTCCTTGCACTATTCTAGCTCCATCTTGTGGACTTATTCCTGGACATTATCTGCAAATCACAAGTGTGGTAGTTCAAGCCTACCAGCTGCTCCTCAGAAACCCTATATAAGATGCTATGAGTCAGAACTGACTCAACAGAACTTAACAACAACAATCTGGCTGTAGGGGAAGTTAAGTTTGTGCAGAAATTCCATTATCCTGTGATTTCATTTTTCCATAAACATTTTGAAGTCTCCTCATAGTCTCTTCGACAGACTTATAATTTAGTACATATTTGTTTAAAAGGGTCTGCTTTAATGAACTCCTCTTGTCTCTCTCTAAGAGTTTAAGGTCCATATAGAATGAAGTTCATACATATTGATTATGCATTTTCCACTGAGTATTGTACTACTTTGTCACTGCAAAACAGGCTAAGGAGAAACCTGAGAAATGACTGCATATTTCAGCAAAAAAAGATCACGCTGACATTATTTGTATCATTAGTATTTTAAGTTGAAAAGATTTCTTTCCATGGAATGGTCCACATTGTCCTAAGTATCTTCTGGTTAATAAATATGTCTTACAATAGTTTTATGTTGTTGTTTTTAATCATCTAGCCACACACATGCCTGAATACTGAGTTTTGTCATATTCTAGTAGCTCTGTGGGAGAAAGATGAGGTTTTCGGTTCCCATAAAGATTTGTAGCCTCAGGAACCATACACAGGGTCACTATGAGTTGGAACTGACTTAACAGTACCCAACCACTACCAGAGCAAAGAATGTAGAAAATGGACCAGGATTGGCTATTTACCAAAGAAGTGTGGCAATATGATTGTATCGTTGAATGGCCATGTTGCCAATATAGGGCAGAAACTTCTCTGTAAATCAATATTCTTTACCAGCCTCTAGGGTCTGACTCCAGATAATCAATTATCATATTAAATATTGTAAGAAAAGTTACGAGCACAGAGGAGGGAGTCATCATGGACCTTGGAGAATGAGGAGGATTCTGATGAGATAGTAAGGAGGGCGGACACATGTAGCAGAGAGCACCCAGTTCACATGTGTTTCCGCTGTTTATCTTTTACAAAATGAAGTTTTAAAACTGTTTTCTAATTTTAAGATATCACAAATGAAGGGAGAAACATGGCCTTTGGTTTTCATTTTCCTCCTTTAGAAAAGTAAACTCTAAGAGATAGTAAACTGCTCTGGTAGCGTAGTGGTTACGAATCAGGCTGAGAACCTTTAGGTCAGCGGTTCGAAACTACCAGCTGCTCCACGGGAGAAAGATGAGGCTTTCTACTCCCGTAAAGATTTACACCCTCGGAAACCCTGTACAGGGTCGCTATGGGTCGAAATCGACTCGACGGCACTTAACAACAACAACAACCTTTAATGCAAGTTTTGCTTTCAGGCCTCCAGTTTTCTAAATCTGAGCTTTTTGCTAATATTAGGCCATATTACTATCTAACTGAGTCTTGCTTTCTAGACAGTCCTGCTAAACTAACTCATCACAAAGTACACACATACATGCAAGTAGTAGAAGCATTGTGCAATTGAAAATATTCTTCTTACCAGGTTTTGGCGGGGCTTCCGCGGGACTCGGGTCTTGGCAATCTGGAGTAACATGGCTTGTCCGAGATGACACCAGATTGGCTCCAGAAACTGAGTGCTTCAGAAGGGTCCCAAAAGAGAAGCATTATTTTTAACCTCCCCCCCGACCCCCGTTTAATCACCTTAAAGACATTTCTTCCATTTTAACTGAGGATAATGACCTTACCCCTGACTCTACATTGGACTCATGTTGTGATTTGTAATTGTCTTGCATTAGAATTAAGTGGAGGGCCTGTTCTTCTTGGGGGCAATAAGTAGGACAGGGTCCATACCTTTTACTTCATTTGTTTATTTCTTCCTAGGAACACGTCAACCTAACCCTTTCTTAAATTAATTATAGCCTAGATATAAAAACATCGATGTGTCGATTTCCCCCTATACTTAAGTTTGATCTTTAAGAAAGAAAACAGAAAACCTATAGGAAGGTATTAATCTACTTAACATTTCTAAGTACATCATCCAAAGGATTTTGTTTTTTTAATCTTACATATGCTCAGCAGAGTTACTGGCAAAAACTGTACATTTTCTTCATTTCATCCTTTCAACATCAAATAGTAGGCAGCAAAAATTGGATCAGACTTCAAAGCCTGCTGTGGGCTCCAAGTCACAGAGAGACGTCTCCATTTCACATATTGAATTCGAGCAGGATATCAAAGTGCTACCAAAGAACCTCGGGTCCTCACTCAGAAAGAGGCTCTAACATCTGTAGAGAGTGGAGTGCACAGACGGAATCACCTCGGGGAGCAGCTAGCATTTATTCTCAGCTGCAAATTTCCAGGCTTTTGATTCTCTGTTCACTGTACCTCCCTGTCTCTCTCCTGAACCAAAGTTCTTTAGCAAGCAGGGCTTTTTGTCTCAAAGACTTCAAAATATCACTAACAGTTTCATGTTTGGCTGGACTAACCAAGCAGCCACAGACAGGTTTCGTGCCCACAGACTCCAACGGGTCTGAAGTAATGGGATGCAGTTACTTAGGAATCAAGATGTACAGGTTATTTAGGAATCAAGATGTCCAGGTACCTGATTTGCCTGTCTTGCGAAGACATCACACCCATTTGGGGAGCTTTGGGCTTGCAAATGCCTAAAAATAAATAAATAAGAGAGTTGTAGAAGTCTTGAAAAAAAAATTAAAGAGGATTATTTTCCTCCTGGTTGCACAGTTGTTTAAATGCTTGGCTGCCAAATGAAAGCTGTTGGTTAGAGCCCACTAGTCACTCTGCAGGAGAAAGATAAGGTGCAGAAATCTGCTTCTGTAAGGATTTATAGCCTTGGAAACTCTATGGGCAGCTTCTCTCTTTCATATGGAATTCTGGTGTGGTGCTGTAGGACAAGCACTGAACTACTAATCACAAATTTGGTGGTTCAAACCTACCAGCTGCTCCTTGGAAACCCCATACAGGGCTGCTATTAGTCAAAATCAATTCGAGGGCACTTCACAACAGCATTCTGTACTATGGGGTGGCTATGGATTGGAATCAACTCAATAGCAACGTGCTTTGATTTTCCTCCAAAGATGTATCAAAATATAATCTCTAATTCAGTTTACATTGTTTCTTTCCCTAGGTCCTGTTCCTTTCCTTGATTTTGTTGTTGTGTCTACCATGAAGTCGGTTCCTACTCATAGCGACTCTGTGTACGGTTTCCAAAGCTTTAAATCTTCACTGGAGCAGAAAGCCTCATCTTCCTCCCGTGGAGCAGCTGGCAGGCTTGAAGCACGGACCTTGGGGTTTGCAGTCCAGCACTTATCATAGGGATCCACCGCGCTCCCTTCTTTGTTTTAAAGTATATAAAAAAAAAATACAGAGAGAGAGAAAAACTACTGCTGTTGAGTCAATTCTGATTCATAGTAATTCTGCCTTATAAGATTTCCATGGCTGTGAATCTTTTTTTTTTTTTTTTAATGTTTTATTGTGAATTATGTGATAGTTTACATGGGAGAACATTAGTTTTACATTCTTTCTATCGTATATCATTTCATTGCCATGGTTACAATCCCCTCTATGCATCATCAACCCACCAAAGGGTATACCCTATAAGCCTGCCCCCCACCCCCTGCCTCCCACCCCTCGGTCATCAGCACACAGCCCCTCTCCCTCTCTGGGTCTAAAGTCCCCAACAGCTCCATCTCTCCACGTCATCATCTCTGGCTCCATCTCAGGCATCACTGCTTCTCTGGGTAGGGTCCCGCTCTCGGCTCTTCTCCATTGATGGTCCTAGGGACCTCCGCTCCTAGACTGGAAAGTTAATCACTCCCCTCCTTGCTATAAAACGTCTACCTTTACATTTCCAACCCTCACAATCAGTCCTGATAACAATTATTCGCTATTGTATCACAAGAGACCCATCTGAGTTTCATCAGCCCCGCCTAGACAGATTGGATACTACTCAGTGGAGATTCTACCTTCCTCCAGGCCCTCTGAATCTAGGTTCCCCCTTGAAAGCTTGTAAGCCAGTCACTTGCCTTTGTAGCCGCCCCTCCTCCCCACTTTGAGTAGCCAATGTCCAAGTTGCCCATCCCTGTCTACTCTGTGTATGGAGGGGGTGGGAATGATCCTTGCTGTAAAGATTTGTTCCTTCTTTTGAGCTACTGCATCCATAGGTGTAGGTCAAGTTCATCAAATTATATCAGATTACTCAATTTTCCTCTTCTTTCTTCTTCTGGTTGAGCCCTGATCATCCAGTCACTGAAGCCAGGTCAAGTGGGTATTATCTGCAAGTGTGGGTGTTCTTGTGCATATGCCCTCTCTTCTTATCAGCTGGACGCTTCACTCTCCACTCTAGTCCTTTGTGGCTATGTCACTGACTCTGGGCCCAAGAGTCCCCAGGTCTTGCCACACTGCTGGCATGGCTGTGAATTTTCACAGAAACAGACTGCTACATCTTTTTCTGGAAGAATGGTTGGTGGACTTGAATTGCCAAATGCTTAATCATTGTGCCACATGTTAAAAGTATTTGGTGAACTAAAAGAAATGTACCTGAGTAGGTGTTTCTAGAGAAAGCAATGGGGCTGTTAACCAAAAAGGTCAGCAGTTTGAACCACCCAGGGGCTCTGTGAAAGAAAAGATCTATCTCTCTGCTTCCATAAAGATTTACAGCTGAGAAAACCCTATGGGGCCATTGTACTCAGTGCTACACTATGAGTTGGAATTGGCTCCATGGTAAACAGTAATAGATATTCCTTCTGCAGATTACAGCACATCCAAAGTCAGCCAGACACCCTAAGACATAAGGTTGAATGTGGTTTAGTGAGCATTATTGGCTTCCACTGGGTCCTGGTGTGACACTGTAGGATAAGCACTGGACAGCTAACTGAAAGATTGGAGGTTCAAATCCACCAGAGGCTCCTTGGAAATCCTTTACAGGATCCAGTTCCACAGTACTTAACAATAACAACATTGATTATCACAAACAATACCAGCAGCCAACCAAATCAATGCACTGCTCACACAGCACATATATTACATTAATTGTTAAATAATTTAAAGTGCATTCTGTAGGCCAATGTTAGGTTATACATAGTTGAAGAGGTTTCCTGACAGCAGGAATTCTCTTTTACAATCACAGCAGGCATTTATAGATCTGTAATGTGGTGCTGTGGGCTAATGCATCAGACTGCAAAGTCATTTGAACTGCAAGGTCGGTGGTTCAAGCTCACCAGTTGCTCCTTGGAAACCCTATACAGGGTTGCTAGAGGTCAGAATCAACTTGACAGCATTTAACAACAGAAACAAAATGTAGAAGGCTGTTGCTATGATAATGAGCAGGTCTCAACAGAGCTTTCAGACTAAGACAGACTAGGGAGAAAGACCTGGTGGTCCATTCCCCGAAACCAGTGAAAACGCCGTGGCTCATGGAGGTGGAACAGGACCAGACAGTATTGGTTCTGTTGTGCATGGGGTCGGCTTAAATCAGGGTCTACTTGATAGCAGATAACAACAGCACCAACAAAGGGTGGGGCACCCTGCAGAGTTTCCTAATTAGACCAAAACATTTTTTTAAAATGATGACCTAATAACATTTATTAGAATATTAATGTTTCATTGAACCACATTCAGAAAAAAACAGTTCTGCTGGGACCCTAATTTCTAATAGCTGGAAAGCATTTTGTAAGAGTGTGGTATTCTAGCACATATTAAAATAGGAGCCAGCTATTCCAATGCCTTTCAGATGTAATTCAGTATAACAGAAGCACTGACTGCTGTTGTTAAGTGCCATTAAGATGTTTTGGACTCCTAGCGACCCTGTATAGGGTTTCTAAGGAGGGACTGGTGGGTTTGAACCACGGATCTTGTGGTTAGCAGTCCAGTGCTTATCTTACAATGCCACACCAGCACTGACTTCTTGTTGTTGTTACATGCCATCGAGTCAGTACCGAATCATAGAGACCCTACGCACAACAGAATGAAACACTGCCCAGTCCTGGGCCAACCTCACAATTATTGCCACACTTGAGCCCATTGATGCTGCTATGTGGCCAATCCATTTCACTGGGGGTCTTCCTGTTTTTCTCTGATCCTCCACCTTACCAAACATGATACCCTTCTCCAGTGACTGGTCCCTCCTGACAATATATCTGTAGTATGAGAGACGAAGTTCGGCCATCTGGCTGCACTTCTTCCAACACAGATCTGTTAGTTTTTTTGGCAGCCCATGGCACTTTCAACATTCTTCTCCAGCACCATAACTCAAAAGCATCAATTCTTCTACAGTCTTCCTTGTTCACTGTCCAGCTTTCGCATGCATATGAGGTTATTGAAAATACCATGGCTTGGGTCAGGCGCAACTTAGTCCTCAAGCTGACACCTTTGCTCTTCAACACTTTAAAAAGGTCTTGTGCAGAAGATTTGCCTAATGCAATATGTCATTTGATTTCTTGACTGCTGCTTCCATGAGGTGTTGATGGTTAATCCAAGAAGAATGAAGTCTTTGACAACTTCAATCTTTACTCTGTTGATAAGAATGTTGTTTATTGGTCCAGTGGTGAGGATTTTTGTTTTCTTTACAGTGAGATGCAATTCATACCAAAGGCTGTGGTCTTTGATCTTCATCAGTAAACACTTTAAGTCCTCTTTACTTTCAGCAAGCAAGGTTGTATCATCTGTATATCTCAGGTTGTTAATGAGTCTTCCTCCAATCCTGATGTCACATGTTTCTTCATATAACCCAGCTTCTTGGATTATTTGTTCAGCACACAGGTTGAAAAAGTATGGTGAAAGAATACAACCCTATTACACACCTTTCTTATTTTTAAAACATTCAGTGTTCCCATATTCTATTCGAACAACCTCTTCATGAGCACAATTAAGTGTTCTGGAATACTAATACTTTGCAATGTTATCCATAGTTTGTCATGATCCACACAATTTAAAACCTTTGTGTAGTCAATAAAGCACAGGTAAACATCTTTCTGGTATTCTCTACTTTCAGCCAAGATCCATCAATCATCAGCAATGATATCCTTCATTCCACATCCTCTGCTGCATCCTGCTTGAACCTCTGGAAGTTCTCTGTCAATGTATGCTTGCAGCCATTTCTGTATTATCTTATTAAAACTTTACTAGCATGGGATACTAAAGATATTGCCCAATGATTTCCACATTCCATTGGGTCACCTCTCTTTGAAATGGGCACAAATATGGATCTCTTCCAATCAGTTGGCCAGATATTGGCACTGACTAAAGGGCAGGAAAACATGACTTTGGGTCAATTTCTACAGTATCTGGGTTCTACTTTTCCTTATCTAGAAATGAGGTTATTGAGATAATTACTATTCTTAAGATCTCTTCTAGTTCTACATTAATAATCTCATTCTTTATTTAATGTGATAAAATCGTTTCAATGCATGTGAAAATTCATAGACATTACCTTGTAAATAAATACCTCTGTTTATAGTAGATGATAGTACAGTACAGGGGGCGGCATAATTAAATATCTATTTGTGTGTATGTTTATTTATCACACGCCCCCTACGATAGAAGGAAAGCTCCACCAAAGCAGACACTTGACCTATTCTATTTCATATTCTCTATCAGCACCTAAAAGGAGCCCGGGGGGCTCTGTGGGTTAAGTGCTGGACTGCTA